CAAGAACTGATGCGAAATTATCTTGAAGATAACCTATTAAGTGAAAAAAGGAAGATGCAGGGAAATGCATATTGTATACTCCAATCTGTTTATACACACACATGAATTATTTACTAGTAAAAGCAAATCTCTAGAAGGATATGCAAAAACCTAGTAACACCAGTCACCTCTAGAGAGAACTAGATGACTAAAGAACAATAAGAAAAAGAAGGCTTTTCATTGTTTACTGTTTTATAATTTCTTTTGTATCATGGGGCTATACTATCTTTCAAAAATATTAATATATATAATTTTCTTTTCTTTTTTTTTTTTTGTTTTGTTTGAGATGGGGGCTCACTCTGATCCCCTGGGTTGAGTGCCTTGGCGTCACAGCTCACAGCAACCTCAAACGCTCAGGCTCAAAGCAATCCTCCAGCCTCAGCCTCCCAAGTAGCTGGGATTATAGGCACCTGACACAACTTCCAGCTACTTTTTCTATTTTTAGTAAAGACAGATTCTTGCTGTTACTCAGGCTGGTCTTAGACCTCCTAAACTCAGGCTATCCATCCACCTCAGCCTCCCAGAGTGCTAGAATTATATGCATGAGCCACTGAGCCCAGCCCTCCAAATATAATTTATATAATTTTCAAGTCCTGAAAATATGTATAGAAGACATATTTACAGGTATATATAACAATTAAATCCCATAAAGTGAGGTCACCGAATATGTAAGTGTACAGTTTACATAATTTTTTTCATTTTGCCATTTTCTCCAGATTCTGAGGAGACAACAGATTACCTGAGTACAGATGCAATTAATATTAAAACAAAAGGCCAGGCATGGTGGCTCATGAATGTAACCCTAGCACTCTGGAATGCTGAGGTAGGAGATCTCTTGAGCTCAGGAGTTCAAGACCAGTCTGAGCAAAAGTGAGACTCCATCTCTATTAAATATAGAAATATTAGCTAGGCATGGCAGTGGGTGCTTATAGTCCTAGCTACTCGAGAAGCTGAGGTAAGATTACTCAGAAAGCTGAGGCAAGAGGATTGCTTGAGCCCAGGAGTTTGAGGTTGCTTTGTGCTATGATGCCACAGCATGCTACCCAGGGGAACAGAGTACGACCCTGTCTCAAATAAATAAATAAATACTACAAAATGTTCTAACCTCCATTCACTTAATACCTCTAGGTATCTAATCTGTGTTAAATCAGTGTAGTAGGTGTGGGGCTTATGAAAAAAGATAGTTTTTACTCTTATGAAGATTAGACTAGCAGAAGAGACAGACAATGATAATTACAGACATGGGAGTTATAAAGTAGTAGTACAGGGTGCGATAAGAAAGTCTGAGAAAATGCCCAAAGCTGTCTGAGGACAGTGCCTCTACACTGACAAGCACACCTAGAAAACTCTCATTTACGGAAAAGGGGAAATCTGGCTAACTGTAATTTTTGCCATGTAACACACCATTTAATCAATCCTACTCTGAGTTAGACTTATCAGAAGTTAACGCTTCTTCTGGTGCTTCACTATTACTATGCTCTTGAAATTCTAAATATTCAAGACTTGTCTTTCATGTTAGGTTTTCTCCTTGATTTGCAATATTTCAGTAAAAGGACCAATTTCTTTTACAGGTTCTAAAAACATGAATAGGAAAGAAGAAAAATCACATGATGAGGCGGGGCAGAGAGCTCAGGAACCCCAGCCTCAGGGTAAAGATGCCCTAAACAGATTACACAACTCGCCACCTCTTCCTAGAGTGGCAATATGCCTGGTCCAATGAAAAGAGCACTGAACCTGGAGTAGAAAGACCCGAGTTCTAATTCTGGCTTTTCAAGTATATGACTCCATGTATCATTCACTTAAACCACCTACTCTCATCTTTAAAATGCAGGTATTTAGGCTGATTTTCTATAAGGTCTCTTATAATCCTTAAATTACGATTCTAGAAACTTAATGATTGTTTTGAAATCTAGTCATCTGTAACTAACTGGCTGACATGAAAATTCGTTATCTTAGGGTCATTTCTCAGTCTTTCTTGAATAGCCAAAGAACGCGATTCTGGGGAAAATTTTCTGATCCTGGCACCGCCTCATCTTCATTGTTGCTTTCTTCTTTCTGCTGAGAAAGGGACCGCTTGGGAAATACGGCTGCAGATGGCAACAAATCCTTAGGTTCTCCAGGGTCAAAGACTTCTAATTCTACTAAAAACCATAACTGGCAATGGTGACACCAGGAATGTAGAAAAGTCTGTGCCATGTAATGCCAAGCCTTATACTGTAACACATAACTGAGAACTGTGTGGGGAGTACCCAGGCTTTCACATCTCTGGAGATACTAATAGGTGTCTGGGCTAAATCTCCACAGAGACAGATTCAAGGCTTTCTCTTTTTAGAAGAAAACACTATAATTTCGAGATACCTTGGCTAGTATCTCCAGTGTCTTTAGGATTATCATGTCCAATCTTTATCAGTTCTCTTTCAAAGGTCCTTCAGAGGCTAGTCCAATCCTTTCCTGCCCTTTTCAGATACCCAACCCATCCATAGGCCCCTCATTCATGGCACAAAACCTCATCGGCCTCTTCATCAAGAAGGCTAGAAATTGTTAAATAAACCGACTTAGCTGCTCTTCGCTCCATCTAAAATGCTATCTGGATCACCATTTAGCCTTCTCCCTTCCCTCCTTTTAGGGGTGACATGTTCACTTCTACTCCTCTTTTTAATATACTTGGGCTCTTGATGTAACCCTCTCCTGCTTCTTCTGAGACCTCTTTCTTAC